TGATGATGCCCCATGATGCTCTCATTCTCAATTTTTGATGTAAGCTAGACGAGACTGCTTTACACCCGTGCAACCAAGGTCTCCCTAGTAACAAGTTGCATGAGAGTCGAAAACCCACTACCATAAACTCTATGCTGAACAGAGCATTCTCATGTACCAAAGGTAAGACTATAGAACCCATCACTTCCCTTGGAAATTGGTCAAAACCTCTGAGAAGAATGGAGCGGTAAGTGATATGTAAATCATTATACCCTAGCTTGTACAGGTATTATCGGGAACAGAGATTAACATCAGATCGGTGTCAACCAATATGTGATTAATATAACTTGCACCTTGTCGAAGAGTGATATGAAGTGGTTCATTATGATAGTGATTAGGGGTTAAATCGCTATCTGTAAAGGTGATCCCTGGATCAACATCGTGTTGTTTGACGTTTTTCCCTTTTCGTGAGGAAGAGTGAAAAGTGTCTAAGGTTTTGAATACGTTTTGAAAATACATTGATTCATGGATAGGCACATCATATAATAATTTGGGGCTAGTTTGACGAGAATGGAGGGCAGTGTTTTCTTGGCGAGAGGCCTTGGATCGTTCTATAGTGGAAACCTTTGGATGCGGGCTTTTATCATTTGGAGATTCAGGCCGTAAGGTTAAAATCTTAGAGCCATCATGGAAGGTCAAGGATTCATGAAGTTGTGCCGGTGTTTTTTGGGATTGAACTAACATGAGGGGATGAAATTGGTAAATCCAAGGCTGACCAAGTTTGATATCATATGGAACTGGTATATCACAAATTATGAAACTTGTGGTGAAACTTACACCTTTGTATTTAACAATTGCATCAATTTTACCACATACATTTTCATATACATCGTTGTTACAAAATTCATCTATTGTTACAGGTCTAAGTTCTTCCTCCTCGAATTCCCAATCAACAAATGTATGGTACGGGCACATATTAATGGAAGACTCTTCATCAATGTGAACATGATGATACGTGATGTTATGACATATCATTGCATAGTCCAGTGAGTCATTTATAAAATTCTTTCTAATCAAATCGTCTTTGAACTGGTGCAGATCAAGTTTGAAGATTTCCCGCAAATCTTTAAAAGGGTTTGAGGCGTTTATGATTGTTCTTTTGAGATAATCACTAAAAGCCTCACGATACATTAAGGAATGTGATAGTAAGTCCCATAATGATCTTTCACAATTCTCCTTCTTTGGTCTCGAAGTCGAGCCTTCCCCAAAACCCACCATATTACACACCGTGGTTGCCATGTGCAGTAAGACTGCATCCCCATGAATGGTTATCACACTGCCCGGGGTTGAAAATCTGACTTTTGATGAAGTGCAGAGAAATTGCCCATATATGTTGTAACCATGATTTTCCCAAGGTAAAGGTGAGGCTTTTCGGGCCATCGATTACTTGGAACTCAACATTACAAACCCAATCATGATATCCTAATGGTAAGGTGATTTCCTTAATTGCCCGCATGAGAGTGTGATCGCTTATTCTAACCACCTTTTTTTAGGGTCTTAAAGGAGCGTCTTCACACCCTAATTTCTTGAGAATGGTTTTACTATAGATGTTGAATGTGGACTCTCTATTTACCAAAATTCCTGAGACCTTTTAACAATCCGATACCAAGGTAATGGACAAGGGCCAGTCATTACTGTAGTCATTCGGCAAATCTGCATCGGTAAATCGTGGAGTAGGTGTAGTCCACGATCTTGAAATTGGAATTTTCCCATCATCAATGAGTTGTTGGATTGCATGTCTTAGATCACTACAAACATTTGTATTGTGTCCGTAGTCATGACAATAGTTACAATACTTTCCCATATCAGCCCTAGGAGACGGCATAGTGTAGTTATTATGTTTTGACTTGAGGAAACCCTATATCATTAACCGATGACATATAACACTTAGTGATTCACACCTTCTAGAGTAAATCTGGCGGATGGAACCCCAACGGCTTCCTCCACTACACATTTGTGCTCCTGTATCCATATCTCGGTCTCTAAACAACAAGTGAACTGCAATATTCAAGAACATGGTTAAGAAAACCTTCAAGGTGTTGAGGGGTGTAAGACTTTCCTTTGAAAAGAACATTAATTCACATATTAACTTATTGATAGTGATTAAACCATTCTTTAAGTTGAAAAGGTTTTAAAGGGAGATTTTGGCATTGCTTAAAATGCACCACATGTGGTGTTTGTTAGTCTTAGAAAGTTAAACTCTCTTGGGATCCTATGAAGGAAGGTCTAAGGATAACTCTTAGTTCATTCTTGGGTCCATAGGTAGGCTTTCTAAAAAAACGATTTTATCTTACAAAAAAGAGTTTTTTTGTTTTTTTTTCATGACAACACGAATGAATCATTAACACAAATGACCGTAGACTCCATGTATGTATTGATGCACATGTTTCTTAATCTAAAGGTCAATCTGTTTTGAGGAAATTACTAACCAAGTGGCCTCGTATCACTTCCAACCGTGAAAACCGAGGTGGACATTCCTAACAGAGCCGATTGCAATAGTGCACGGATGTAGGTTTACGCCCTTAATTCATTAATTTGATTATCTAAATTCGACCTTACCAATAGGCAGAGGTGCCGACCTAAAAGGAAAAAAATGCTCATGCTCATGACAATTGATGAATGATGAATGACCCCATAAGTACACCTAAACGAATTAACAACACAAATTCAGGTTTAAACCACTACACATTTTATACAAAAGAAATTCCCCAGTGGAGCCGCCAGACTGTGGTACCTGGTTTTTAGTGGACAAAGATTAGTCTATAAAGGTTCCACTTAAGTGTTTGATAAGACTTATAATTAAAAAAAAAAAAAAAACTTAGAATCCCCCCCTTATTTTTATCCGAATAAGGATGGATTTTAAAGCAGTCAATTTAAATAAAAAAAAATCAACTACTAACTCCATAAAAGAAATAAGGCACAGGGTTTGGGGTTTAGGTTAAGAGAATCGAACGCCTGGAAATCCTCTTCCCTTCCGTTCTAAGGAACGGGCTCTTACTATTGCGTTGTTAAAAATCAAGTTTTAAGACATGTAAACCATATAAAAAAAATATAAGGTAGGTTTGAGCACCAAAGTTGCACTACGTACCAATCATAGTGAGATTTTGAATTCACTTACGGATCAAAACCTTCGTAGTTCGGACAAATGCCATGTTTTAAATAACCAATTCCATTGGGTTTTTAATTTGGGTTGTTGACATAAATGTCATTTTTTGTAAGTGGGATTTTTTTGATCTTTGACGGATTATCTCATAAAAGTAAAATGAACCACCTTGGTTGAAAAATGTCTTTTGAATAAGACAATTCAACAAATGTGTCCCAATTGAAGACTTTTAGTGGATCAAGGTATTTTTGGGAGTGAAACTGTAAGGGTTCACTATATAATCTCACTTTGGGTTTCAAATTTACTCAAAGGTAATTTTTGTAAAGTTTTAAGGGTTATGTGTTTAGGCTTAATGAGATTGACCAAATAAAACACGACACCTGCCAAGGCCTTCCTTCCAAATAAAAGGGAACAATTAACTATTTAATTATATTCGATTGTCAATTAATCCATCGGGCAATTATAATGGGATATAAGCTTATTTTTATGGAGATGGACAATTGTTACAACCATATACAACTAAATAATTAATCATAACCTCGTGTTTGGAAATGAAGACATAACCTTATATTAACTATCATTAATTATTACAAATAAAAAAGCAAAGTTATGATTCATTCTTGCATCACAAAAGGGTTTGAAATAAAAAGGTTCACAAATTATAAAAGAAAACAATTTTTATTAAAACTTTTATTTCTGAAGTCATCTTGAAATAAAATTAAAATCCTTAAGACATCATTTAATAAGATTAAAGATTTTTTAAAACAACGATATTTAGAATTAAAGGCTCTTATTTCTGAAGTCTTCTTTAAAATAAGATTAAAGTTTCTTCAAATAATACTTAGAATTAAAGCTTGTTAAAACTCTTATTTCTAAAGTCATTTTTAAAATAAGATTAAAGACATTTTAATTAAAAATCCATAAGTTAAGAAGTATATATAGTGTAATCTAGGTTTCATACCACCTTTAGTTCCTTAAAAATAAATTAATACAATTTAAAAAAGCAATTAAGAGAAAAACGTGCATATTTCATCTCTTTGATAGCTTAACCTAAAAAAAATCATTAAAAGTCATAGAAAAATAAAAAAAAAATTATTGTGAGATACGGTTGGAAAGCTCTTGAAAAGTTCTATCACTTGAGCTAAAGAAATGGAATTGGTTCTGGTCGTAAGGGTTATTTCACAGGCCATCTTTGGGTCATGGTAAGTAATTCTTTACTCTTGAACAACCTTGGCTTAAACTCTTAATTCCTTAGGTCTTTCACTACAAGAAAAAGGGGAATTAGCGACGGTCAAATTAGTTGCAAATCCGTCGCAAAAATGGATTTGCGACGGATTTGCAACTACTTTGGTTAGTTGATAAAGACCACGTCGCAAATCCATTTTTGCGACTAATTTTGGTATAGTCACAAATTTAGCGACGAATTTGCAACGACTTTGCAACTGCAATTTAGTAACTAATTTTAAAATTTTAGCAACTGAATCATTGTCCATCGCAAAATATTAGCGACTAATTTGCGACTATCATTTAATGACTAACTATAAGATTTTAGCAACGGATTCATTGTCCATCACAAAATATTAGCGATGGATGAACAACTACTTTGACCAAATTTTTAAGACTACCGAGACTAGTATTTTGCGACAGATTAGCGACTACGGAGACCATTATTTTTTTGATTGATTAGCAACTGCCAAGATCAATTTTTTGCTACTAACCAATTAGTTGCTAATATAAATACCTTAATGCTTGGTGTCTTTTATGACGGAAGGCGCTATTTCTTACTTGAAACATAGCCTAATATGTTCCCATTAAAAAAATGGTTTTCTTTCCCTCTAAATTGAAACAGATACACATACATATATTAACTTAAATATTTTCAATAATAATTATTGTAATAAATATTACAATTTTATCCCAACAGAAAGTATTTTAATTGTACAAAGTTGGGATTAGCATTAATAAGAACATTTAACAACAGTAGCAGCAACAACAGCATCAATGGCTTCAACATATCAGCAACAGGTCTGCAAGAATGAAAACCAAATAAGTACCTTGATTAAAATTTGTCAAGAGAATACACAAGAAGACCAGTTTAAAAACCAAGACATGAATGAATAGCATAATATTGTAGATGAAGTATAATAGCGCTATCTAGATGATTAAAATATACATGAAGAGACATGCTTAAACTCATCAAGACCCCCTTGCAAGCTTGGGGAAATTCATAGCAATGCAAGGACTAACAATAATGATCAAACTTCACACGTCTTTTGTAAACAAAACTAAGAAATGTTTTAGATACAAAAGATCCTAAATCCTTCTTATCATAACTAAATTAACCAGAGATAGGAAACTAAGGTAAAGTATATATTTTGCGGCTAACCTTGTCGACGTTCCTAAGGTGCTTCTTTGCTATATAAGCTGATTGGGAGTCAGTAATGAAACTTAGTTATTCACCTAACAAAACTTAGTTATTCACCTAACAAAACTTAGTTATTCACCTAACAGAGAGTTTAACAAAAAATAAAACCCTAACAGAGAGCGAATATTTAATATAGATTACAATATGAAAGAAAAGATGGAATATCAGTTCACATGCATATTGTATATTTTGAAGCTGAACAAGCAATAAAAAAAGATAGAGTAGCAAAGGAGAGCAAAGGTAAAGAAAGACAAAATATGGAAGAATTCAGAATTCTGATCCCATAGAGTAAGTAGCAGAGCATTCAACCTGACAAAGGTATGAACTAGCCCATCTGCACCTTTTAACAGCATAAAACAATATATACAGAAGCATTATATGTACTATATATTTTTCTTAGTCCAATCAAGAACCATGTTAGAAACGGAAAGAAGAGGAAACGAATATTTAAACCAATTTGATCCAAATAGCAGAGCAGAGCAGCGCACGAAAAATGGAGATTAGTCTCCTCTTGTGCTTGAAGAATATGAGCTTGTTGTGCAAATGTAATGATTAATATTGATCACATTTTAGACAATAAGCAATATTTGTTTGTGCTTAAGCTTAATATTAACATATGTACATATCATTTAGTCTCTAAGACTGTAACACTTCAAATTCCAAAACATAACAATAAATCTCCAAAATCCTAACAGCAAATCCTAATATCTTAATGAGAAAGTTATAGCATGAGCATCCTTTCTACATCAGTAAATGACATAGTTCCCACAGTCTAACATTCTCATTCAATTTTAGCTCAATAACAAATCTTCAAAGTTGGAATATGGAACCACTTCAATGATAAAACTAAAAAATAATGAAGCTACATTCATTTGGAGGTGATAACACCATAATAAAGAACCAAAGAGCATAAAATAGTTAGACAAATTACATCTCCAGTTGTTTCTTAGGGTATTATTTAGCCTAAGTATAATGCATATTACATCTTCTTTCGGTTGTTTGTAAGAACATGAGAATAGTAATACTGAAATTGTAATTACAGATACAAATCTCTCAGCAACACTAATAATGCAATGGTGATTACAAACACACACAAAAACCCCAAAATTTCACCAATAATTTCAAATTTCTGTCACTTCAATTGAATTTCAATCAAATTCCTATCATCAAACCCAACCAAAATATATAACAAAAAAATCAACCAAAATCATGTAGATTTATACGAATAATAAAAAAATAAAAACGCAAATTTTGACATTGAATCAATAAATGGGCAAAATTCATCAGCAAAGCCCAAATTAAAAATCAACAAATTGATCCAATATAGCAATAAAACAAGCAATATAGAGGAATCGGTTAACAAGGAATTGATTCTACTGAGAATTGGAATAAGCGAAAATAGTTAAAATATAAAGGACCTTACATGTAGAGGAATCGGCGCCGGAGTTCAATGAATCTGGCGACATGAGCGACGACAACGGTGGCGGAGGTAGAGTGATGGAGATAGTGAGCAGATGAGAGAGGAAGAGAGAGAAATGGGGGTTTTCAGTTGTTGATCGAATTTGTTGGGTTTTGGGAGTCGAATTTATTGGATTGGGGTCGAAAATTGCTGGGGTTTTGGGGTTTTGAACGGGTTTGAAATTTCTGGGGGTTTTGGGTTTGATTTTTGCTCGAGAATGAGGAATTTCTGCTCGGATTGCTCGAGTTAGGGAGGATTTGGCTCAAAATTACTGGGGATTTCGGTTGCTAGTTGAATTTTTTGGGTTCTGAGTTCGAATTGATTGGGGTTTGAATAGTTAATTTTGCTGGGTTTTTGGGGTTTGAACGGCAGCAAGCTAAAGTAGTGCATATTTCAATTTTTTGTCTTACAGACTCTACACTGTAAGCAATGGGCGAATGAAGAGGGTAATTGCATACTCTCGTTGAACTAATTTTACCCTAATTAAGGCAAACAAGCTCCTAGATTATGGCCATGTTTGGTAATTAGAGTTTTGACAACAAATGAGCTTATTTGACCAATTAAGTTAGAGGTTTGACTACAATCACTACATAAATCATCTAATTTGTTTGTTTGGTGAAAGAGCTTTTTAAATAAGCTTATTGAGGCAAATAAGCTAATTTGTAAGAAAAAACTAGGGAAATTCTCTTTGGTAACACCAAAGTATTTGATTTTCTCAGTGGTAAACAGTTAAAAAACTTATTATCGTTGGTAAACTTGTATTATTGTCTACCAAAGATAATTACAATTTTAATTAAAATCTTTAACCATGGTTAGTTTTTGTATTTTTAACAATTAATTTATATAATTTTAGTGATAATATAAATTTAAAAAATACAGCCACCCTTCCCCTCCCTAACCGGTGCCACCCCCACCCCTGCTGGTGCCACCAACGCCCAGCCTCCACCTCCGGACAGCGGCGCAGCCCCCCACAACCGCCGGCAAACCCCTATCCAACGCCCTTCCCATTTGCCCCATCTGACATCCTGTCTTCTTCAAGGCTAAATATCAATTTCATTCACGCCTTTCATGGTTAATTGCTTCATCTCAACTCTCCCCCACCAACAGTAACCAAACATGGAAGCGTCACTACTCCAACCACCAAATCGCCACCATCCTTCGCCATTCCACCACCATTGCCGCTTAAACCTCGCATCACAAGGAAGAAAGCCAAAACTCGCCTTCCTTCGCCGCGACTACGCTAAGCGTCACTACTCAAAGCGGAATTAGGGTTCAAATTAATTCCAATTACATGTAATTCACATAATATCTTGTTCAATTGTGAGAAATTAGGGGTTCGATTACCTGAAATTCGCAAAAAAAATTTATTTATTTATTTTTTGTAATTTTTGATGGTGGTGAGGTGCGATAAAGGAGAGAGGACGGGGAAGGGTGTTCGGCGGGACGGCGGGAGACTGGGTGTACGACGGGGAAGGAGTTGGGCGTTGTCAAGGAGGAATAAGGTGAGGAGGGAGGCTGGGCGTCGCAGGTGGGAGCGTCGCCGGCCGGGGATGGGGGTGTTTGGTGCCGGCAGGGGAGGAGTGTGGCTGGTGGCAGGGGTGTGAGGGAGAAGAAAAAAAATATTTTTTATATTATTTAATTATTTATAAAACTTAAAATCTAACCCATAACCTCTAACTATAGTTAAAAATTAATCATTAATGTTATAAGTAACTCAAGGACAATAATTGGATGTTACCAATGATAATAAGTTTTTTAACTGTTTACCACTGAGAAAATCAAATACTTCGGTGTTACCAAAGAGAATTTCCCAAAAAACTAATAAAAAAAATTATCTTATTGAGTAATGAATGTCAAAAGACAATTTTATCCTAAAAGTTACTCTAATTCACATTCTTGCCCTCCCGATTTCTTACCCTAATCAAGTAAAAAAAATATTATCAATGTCCTAAATTGTCATTTCATATGTTCAACTATCAAGCAACTACAAATAATAAGATAAGTTTACCCAACAACTCTACATAAAAAGCTCTTTATAAATCAGCTAGTCAAAGCAGCTAATGTAACCATTTAGTCAAAACAGCTAATGCAACCAGCTCTTGTCAATCAACTAACCGCTAATTACCAAACAGGACCATAGTAGACTGATAACACTTTCACCGTGGGATACGAAACCATAACTTCGTCATATTTAAGAAAATTATCAAATTACCTATTTTCAAACACCAAATGGAATGTAGAATGATCTGAAATAACAACCATATATTTTTTGAAAAGGATGAACATCACAATTAGTATCGAACGAATGAATATTTCAATCTCTTTCAGCCGCAAATTTTTTTTTGCGACTGAATATTATGGTAGTCGCAAATAGTAGTTGCAATTTTTTTTATTTGCAACTAAAATTAGGGTAGTCGTGAATATGAGTCGTAAATTAGCAACCGCATTGCAACTAATGTAAAATTAGTTGCAAAATTTGCGACTACTAGTCTTTTTCAGTTGCAAAAATATTTTTTTGCGACCGAAAATTAGGGTAGTTTTAAATATGAGTCACAAATTTGCGACCCCATAGCAACTACAACAAAATCAGTCGCAAAATTTGCAACTACCCGTCCTTTTCAGTTGCAAAAATATTTTTTGCGCCTGAATATTAGGATAGTTGCAAATATCAGTCGCTAAATTGGCTTTTTCTTGTAGTGTTTAAGCTCACTTTAAGAAATAAATCAGTCTTTAAAATATACATTAGGCAGTCACATGAATGTATTAACCTTTCATTTTTAAAATGCATTAAAAAAAGATGCAATGCAAAATGCAATTAACCCCCCTCTTTGTAACCTATCACCTCACCAATAGGCTTGGCTTTCTAATGTGGAGTAATGAAAGATTTAGGGCTAATTTAGCACCTAATATCGTCATTACCCCTATTGGTAACATCACATGAAAACAAACACATTAGTTAGCATAATAATAATAATTAAGGAAATTAAGAAAGGAACAAAGATAATACCTTGAGCTAGATGTATCAATTTTTTGGATAACCCTTCTTACTTATCAAGGATGAAAAGATGATCACTCCTTAATTAAAGTGCAATAAAAGAGATTAAGTGATTTTTTTTTCTTTTTTTTTTAGTTTTGAGATATTAAAGGAAATTAATGCAAAAAATAAAGCTAAAGAATTTTTTTTGATTTTTGATTAGAGAAAATAAACTTGAAAAATAAAGCTAAATCTTGAGAAACAAACCTTTTTTTTTTGGTTTTATTTATAGACTAGGAATACTTAAGAAATTAAACTTATATTTTTAACAAGGATAATAAAGAAAAATAATGCTTGAACTTGAAATATTTTTGTGTTTTTGTATAGGAATTAAAGATGATAACAATACTTAAATAAAAATAACAATATCAACTTAATTATAAGATGCTTTTAATAAGCTAAAAACTTAAAAAAATAAAGCTAAATTAGAGAGATTTAACTAAAGTAAAGATTAGAGGAGAAATTTGTAGAGAGAGAAATTGTAGGAAAATTTGGTGTATTTTTAACTTGAAAATTAGGGGGGTATTTATAGGAAAATAAAGGGGTTAATTTGTAAATAGAAAGTAAATAAATTAAAATTCAAGGATTATTTTGGTAAATATTAAGATTTTGGTAATAATGAGAATCTTGATATTAAATTCTTTCGTTTTATATGTAACAAACTACTTAATCTGTTTTACAACACTTAAACTGATAAAATAAAGAAAACCGTAATAAAATCAACTCTAATATTCATATAATAAAAAGGTTCTAAAATGCCATGGTATTACAAAAAAGAAAATATATGACCAAGTCATGTGACAACTCAAAATAATACTCACATGGTATACGATAACAGAGTGCCTAAATTTATTTAGTGACTATTATCTCACCAAGGTACTAAAACAACACTTATAAAATAAACATCAGCTCTGAGATGTCAGCTCTGAAAGTTACACAAAGACATCAGGTTATTATACTAATAGGGTTGGACAAAATATTTTAGAGTTTATAAAAAATTAAAAAATAAGAATAACCCCTGCCCTTATTAGATAGTACATATTTTTTTACCCAGGAACATCTAATCATATGACAAAATCGTATACATATGAGCATTACAAACAATGACCCTTACTAAAAGTTTAAAGTAAAGTAAATCATATCAAGCCATAAAATTGACGTGGTCAAAGTGAAAATACACTATATAAAATCATACAATATTAATTCATACGACATAAATTTAAGGTAGTCAAGAGTAAAATATATTCTCTTAACCGAATGACCCTTAAAAAAAAGGTGAACTCTTATCTTTCCTTAATCTACTAAAACACAAATTTATATTTATCATAGTCGCATTATTTCACAATTGACGATGACAAGAGATACAAAAATTGGATCAAAGCAAACTAAAGAAACGAAGAGAAAAAAAAAAAAAAAAAAAAAAAAAAAAAAAAAAAAGGAACAAGATGCATGAAAAGGGCTTCATCATCATGATGAGCTCGTAACTAACTGCTACTCAGTCACATTACCATTATGGATTCATGCATTCATATCCTAACTAATTTCTAGAAGCTTAAAGTACCACTGTAGATTCATGCATACGTATCCTATCTAATTGCTACAAACATAAAGTTCTACTGTTGATTCATACATTCACATCCTCACGAATTATTCTGCTGCTCCATATCCCTCAATCCGCTTTATACCCTAAATCTTAACAAAAATATATGGTGTTTCCTTATAAATTTCAGCCATTATCAGTCTGTTTTACTCCTGTCCACATACATGCTTCCTATTGATATATGATCATTGATCCGAGTTGATATCTATTGGATCCAATATTAACCGTGGGGGATAAAAAAAAGGTAACGTTATTTCACTATTGTCAATTATTCATCAAAATTGACGAAAGGATACAAAAACTAGACTTAAATAAACAAGTTATACTAAGTAAATAAGGAAAAAAAGGTAAAACAAGAAGAAAATAACAAATTACAAAAAAAAGTCAGTATCCACATTATTAGACATGATTTTAGCAGCAAAAAAAAACAGCTTTCTTTCATCATAATACTCCATGGGACCCTTAGCCATGCTGCTACATTATTGATACTTAATCGAAATGAGAAAATCGATCCTAGTTTAACGCCAGATACTCACCCTGCTAACACTATTCACCTACTATTCAACATAATAATTATACAAGACAATCATACATTCTTGTTAAAAAAAATACATTTTTATCCATACTTATCCCCTTCTTTACTCTCGTCCATACAACATCTAGATAAATATCGACGGTTTTGGTCCGAACTTGTATTTATCGGAACAAGTATTAAATGTGGAATAAAATGACAATGACATTTTAACAAGTGTATATAAAAGGAGGTTCCTTTAGCACTACAACATTTAGTACTCATTTAGGTAGGGAATGTTTGTCACTTCCCTATATTGGTTGGTGAGTCT